ATCTTGTGGAGCCCGTTATTTTTTAACCATCGTTGATGATTTTTCAAGAGCAGTATGGATCTATTTGTTAGTAGACAAATTGGAGGTCTTTCGAATGTTTATGTCGTTTGTTGCTATGGTAGATCGTCAATTTTCTCAGATAATTAAGGTTATTCAGAGTGATAATGGGACCGAATTTAATTATTTACTAGAATATTTTAGAGCTACCGGAATCATATTCCAAACTTCATGTGTCGGTACCCCTCAACAAAATGGTCGTGTTGAAAGGAAACATAAACATATTCTGAATGTGGGACGTGCTTTGAGATTTCAAGCTAAATTACCAATTTATTTTTTGGGGGAGTGTGTACTCACCGCTGCTCATTTGATTAACCGCACCCCATCCCCACTCTTACACAATAAAACACCTTTTGAAATTCTTTTTGATAAACCTCCTACATTTCATGCTCTCAGGATTTTAAGTTTTTTATGCTTTGCCCACAATCAGAAAACTAAGGGGGATAAATTTTCTAGTCGGAGTAGAAAGTGTGTATTTATGGGTTATCCTTTTGGAAAAAAGGGGTGGCGATTGTTTGATTTGAACACAAAAGAATTCTTTGTCTCACGTGATATGAAATTTGTTGAGGAGGTGTTTCCGTTTGATACTCGGGAAGTTGTGAATATTCAAAACCACGAGTTTGAGGATCAAGATGAGGATTTTGCCAAAATTGTAATTGATGATGAAGCTGAAACTGTACAAAATGTGGATCAAGCTTCACGTCTCATGCACAACCCAACCCAAATACGTCCTGGGCACTCTTCTAATCAAGGCAAGCCCAATGCAGCACCTGGTCCAGCTCCATTGCACAGCAGCGCCTCACGTGCTAGGCATGCATCTCCCTCCAGCCCACGGACAGAAGAGGTGCTAGCAGACCTCACCCCACCTGGGCTTTCGCATCCGTCCCCAGAAGAACACTCCCAGTCAAGCCCATATCAGCTTCTAATGCGGAGCCCATGCCCAGCGTGGATCAAACTCGCGATGGGCCGCTGATGCCTTCTAATCTAGGGGTGTCCATAATTCGGATAAAAACCGAAATCCAAATCGAATTATCAATTCGGATCGGATCCAAACTTTAAATCGGATCGGATCGGATTTAGATTTTTTGGAAATTTGGATTTTCGGATTGGATTGGATTGACCCTAATTGGATCCAATCCAAACCGAAAACCGAATTGTAAAACTAAGTTTGTATAAATATGGATTTCTGTATATTTTGAAGTTTAGCTCAAATAATTACTACTACATAAAATAAATTAGAGAGACTTTGTATTAATTAAATAATGACTTGACGTTGAACTATTTATTTTAATCATGATTTTGAAGTCTTTTATTTATAGTAAAGCTTTATTTTTATAATTGTATTAGGTGCTAAAAAATAATGTATTATAATTTGGATTTTCGGATCGGATCCAAATAACCAAATTTTAATTCGGATTGGATCGGATTGGATCAAGAGAGAAATTCGGATCGGATCGGATTAGAAAATTGAAAGCCGAATTATATTTCGGATTGGATCGGATTTGGACTAAATCCAAACCGAAAACCGAACGGACGCCCCTATTCTAATCAGCCCACGATGCTGCCGGATGAGGAAGCTCTGCATTTCCAGCCCAGTGACACACCTTCTCTTGATACCGGGCCTTCTAATCCACAAATGGGTCATGGTTTTAGACAGAAAATTCCCAATGTCAAGCTTCGTGATTTCGTGACACACACGGTTTTTGCTAAAAGTCCTCTCTCTTCCTCTTCCAATCACTCCTCAGGTACTCCTTATCCTTTAGCACATTACATTAATTGTGACAATTTTTCTGTGATTATAAAAATTCCTTGCAGCCATTGTTAAGGGTAAAGACCCTAAATCTTTTAAAGAAGCAATGAGGTTTGATGGTTGGCGCCAATCTATGAAAGAAGAAATTCGTGCTTTGGAGGACAATGGTACTTGGACTCTAGAGCATCTTCCACCTGGGAAACGTGCTCTAGGTAGCCAATGGGTCTATAAGACCAAATATCTATCCAATGGTGATGTCGAGCGCCTAAAATCAAGACTCGTGGTCTTTGGCAATCATCAACAGGCGGGGATTGACTATGAAGAAACGTTTGCCCCTGTCGTAAAAACGACCACCATTCGGGCTTTTCTTGCCATAGCAGCTTGCAAAAATTGGGAGTTGCATCAAATGGATGTTCACAATGCCTTTCTTCATGGAGATTTAAATGAAGAAGTCTACATTAAATTACCTCTCGGGTTCGAGTGTTCGGATCCTACTTTGGTGTCTCGATTGCGGAAGTCCCTTTATAGCCTAAAACAAGCTCCACGGTGTTGGTTTGCAAAGTTGGTATCGACCTTGAAAAAGTATGGTTTCTTGCAATCTTACTCTGATTATTCTTTGTTCACATATACTAATGGCAAATCTCAAATTAATGTCTTGGTTAATGTGGATGATCTTATTATTTCTGGGAATGATTCCGCTGCATTAAATTATTCAAGGCCTATCTTAGTGACTGTTTTAAGATGAAAGATCTAGGGCCTCTCAAAAATTTCTTAGGGATAGAGGTTGCTCATAGTTCTTAGGGTTATTCTTGTGTCAAAGAAAATATACACGAGATATTATTTCTGAAGCAGTTTTACTAGGCGCAAAGCCTAGTGGGTTTCCAATCGAGCAGATTCATAAGCTCGCCCTTGCAACTGGCGAGTTAATGACGGATACTAAACCCTATAGGCGTCTGGTTGGGCGCCTCATCTATCTTGCGGTGACTCGGCCGGACCTAGCTTATTCGTTTAACATTTTATCCCAATTCATGCAGGCACCGCGCGCAGATCATTGGGAAGCAGCTTTGAGGGTAGTTCGTTACTTGAAGGAGACTCCCGATCAGGCATTTTACTTCGTTCAGATAGTGACCTTACATTGGAAGGATGGTGTGATTCAGATTGGGCAGCATGTCCTCTTACTCGTCGTTCCCTAACAAATTGGCTAGTATTTTTAGGCAAATCGCCGATTTCATGGAAAACAAAAAAGCAGGATACAGTTTCTAAATCCTCCGCAGAGGTAAAGTACAGGTCCATGTCAGGAGTCACTTGTGAGTTAAAGTGGCTTAAGGCTTTATTATTGAGTCTAGGAGTGCAACATCCTAAGGCTATTAAACTATTTTGTGATAGTCAGTTTGCTTTGCATATTGCAAAGAATCCGGTTTTTCATGAACGCACCAAGCACATTGAAGTTGATTGTCATTTTGTTCGTGATGCAATTCCCGAAGGTCTAATATCTCCACACTATGTGTCTACTACTTCTCAATTGGCGGATATCTTTACAAAGCCACTCAGGAAGACACACTTTGATAGTCTTCTTTCCAAGTTGAGCATTTACGATTGTCATGCTCCAACTTGAGGGGGGGTATTAAGATATATTATATTAGGATAATTATTTAGATTAATTTGGATATCATTAGGAGATTGAATTGATAGCCATTAGGATTAGGATATTGATATCTTTTATCTTTATCTTGATTTTCTAGAGTTTGGGTTAGAATAGGAGACCCCATTGAATGTAGTATATATTCATTGCTATTATGCTAATAAAGATCAAGCCAAAGTTTATTCACACACTCATAATTCTACAAATTTTTTACTCTGTTGTCCCGCTTGCTAACTTGAAAAAAGGGTTTGGTAAACATGTGTGAGCATATGTAAACATGTAAAAAAGTAGATGGTTCTCGAGTTGTTAATGGTGTTACATGGATTTCAAATCTCTATGCAGCCATGGGAGACATAGGAGGCACACTTGTCAATTGATCTAAGCAAGCATCATGTACCAAAAAAATTTGTGGACAAAGTTGCTTTCCGAACAGTGAAACTCTTGAGGGTTCCCACTTATATTTTCTTCAAGGTATGGATTATTCTGATATACCATTAAAAAGTTCACTTGGATGATTCAATTAGCCATCTGTCTTTTGTTTACACGAAATATACCATGAAATCTGTGGCTTTGGAGTTCTAATTTGAGCAGATTTCATCCATAAAGAATTGCTAATATACATGCTACAATTTTTTTTCTGTTTAGAAGTTTCATGCTTATGCTTATGCTCTAGACATTACTGATTTTTTCTTATGCTTATACTCTAGACATTACGCTGCGATGCTAGTGCGATGCTGAGATGCATGGCTGCTATGCTAGCACTCATTGCCACATCACAACACACATAGCGATCACTGATTAAGTTGTAATATTAATTACACATTAATATTACTAATCGGAAGCGGTCTCCACTTAGGCATTCCGATCACTTGACCTCACTGAAGAATTAATTTTCTAGTAATTCAGAACCCTTTATCGGAATAAATCCTTCTGGACAAGTGTGCAATTAGTGTATAGCCCATTTCCTATGTCACTTAATGTCTCTTGATGAACTATAAGGTAAGATTCTTCGTCATCTTTATTACGTCAAGAAATGTTTCTCAATTCCCGAGTTTGACTGTCAATATGCAAATGATTTCTAAATCCATCTGAGCACGGTCATGCATCTTCATAGTCTCGCTCTTCGAGAGGCCTTGTAAACAACAAAGACATATTCCCTATTTTTAATAATAGGGGGACATTCCCAGTCTTGTACTGTGAGCTTCCCTTACTAAGAGGACCTATCCGCCCGAGTGTTGTCGTTATAATCCCCATTTACGCAGACGTTTGACAACATCAAAACGGACTAATACTCAAACAAGAGAACTTACAATACTCTTGGTCGAGGAAAAAGATTCTAATAGCTATAATGAGAAATATACTTATGACGATTTTAAATCTCTTAAAGTATTCTCATAGGTCGATCCGGTATAGTTCTAAACCAATACATGTGTAAATGATTTATGACAATCATGTCATCGTAGCACAAGAAACGGTACTATAAATCATACTACACACTAATCTCAAGTGGTCATTAATCGTCCATTATTTACACTAGTAGAAAAACTGAAACGGGCATCGCCAAATGCGCACCGATTTTTAAAAACCGGTGCGAAAAAAATAGTCGAGATTGAGGGAAAGAGATTTCGCACCGGTTCTAACCAAACCGAAAAGTTTGTTTTTCGCACCGGTTCTTACAAAATCGGTGGGAAAAGTCAAAAAATCGCACCGGTTCAGTTCTAACCGATGCGAAATCTATTGTTAAATATATAAAAAAAACCCGGTCAATCTTCTTTCTTTCTCTTTCATTTCCTCGATATTTCTTCCTCTCTTATCTGCCTCTCTCTCCTCCATTGAAGCGTACTCAAAATTCTCCATTGAAGGGGCTTCTGAGCTTTCTCTCAGCACTTTCCTCAAACTCCTTCGATCTCCTTCTCCATAACCGCCACTTTCCCTTTCCTTTCTTCTCTCTTTCGATCTCCTTCTCCTTCTCTGTCAAAAATCAGCTCAAATCAAACGTGGTCGTATTCTCTGCTCCTTCAATGTTCCTTAACGTCTCTTGGTTCAATTTTTATGATAATTTTTGCTGGGTTTTGTAATTAGGGTTTCTAATTTGACTCTGAATATCCGAAATTGTTTTTGGGACGATATTGTAGAAAACTGCAAATACTCTTCATGGTGGGGGTTGAGAAGGCGTGTCCTTGTGGATTGGGGAGTTGTTTGGTTCTTACTGATAATACAGAGCGTAATCGCGGTCGGAAGTTCTTTCGTTGCCCTAATCGTCAAGTTTGTGAGTTTATTTCTAATTAGGGATTTTGATTTTGTGAGTTTATCTTCTTTTATATAATTTATTTACATTCATTCAATTATGAAAATATTCCATTATTTAATTTTTGTGGGCATTTGATTGTTAAAGTTATCTGTTCTTGTAAATTGTTCAATAATTATTTTCTGCATCTGAAGTACACAACAATGATTTACAGAGTTCATATGTTTTTGGTTTTTTTTTTTTTTTTTTTTTAATTTTTTTATTTGAGGGGAATGGTACAATAATTTAAAGGGTCATGATAGATTAAGGTGCATGAAGATACTAAGTACTGATTAAATCTTCCTTTAATAAACTAATTGACACTGAAATTCTAAATATGACCCAAATTATTACATTTTCTGTAATTTTTCAGTCTGAAAGGGTCATGATAGACAAATTATTACATTTTAGCTTGACTTTTGCTTTAGCTAGCTCATTATGTGATTGTTTGTATTGCTTATATATGTAGGAATGAATCTCAGATGCATTGCTTTCTTTGATTTGCTTAGTCAGCGTAGGATCAAATATATGAAATTGTCGTATGCCTATTTTGGGGAACCTGATTGTCCTGATATTGTTCGTTCTGCTTTTAGTTTGTGTCGTATGAATGATCGCTTTTGTGCTTGGGCTTATTATAATGGTGGATATGTAGTTGATATGTGGATGTTGAAAGAATATGATGTGTGGGAATCATGGACAAGGTTGTTTTGTGGTGATATGAGATGTGAATATTGGAATTTTTTTGTACTTACCAAGGCTAGAGAGGTTATGATGTTTCATTTTAATTGGCAAGTACTTATTGACTTCAGCCGAGTTCCACTTTAATCGAGGTCTGTTTGTTTTGGACACCAAGTGACAGCAGTGAATTATGTTCAAAGCCTTGTATCACGTCATACAGTTTTTCTTTACGGTGAACAGAATGGATGACATACGTTGGGAGAAGTAGTTGCTCGTGTATACACTGTTAGAATTAGTTGCCCGTGTTGGTTCATACATTGTGAAAATTAGTTGCTCATGTTGGTATATACATTGTGAAAATTAGTTGCTTGCATTGAGTCATCGAGACTAACATTGTGAAAAATAAGCTGTTTGTGTTGATACTTATGTTGTGAAAGTTAGTTGCTTGTGTTGATAAATACATTTGTTATTGTTGTTATCCCATTGTAAACCTTATCAAAAATGATAATGCAAATATGCAAATAAGACTAAGCTACTTGTCTCAAATTATAAGACAATTTACCTGAATATTGCTATCATGAGCTACAATGAATATGAGTTGTTTTCTTGGTTTGATTTATATCATGTGTTTCTCCTATCTGTTTTACTGGAGATATGATCTCAAAATGGTTCAACTAGCACTTGCTAATTTGTTGTTATAGAAAAACCAGAGAATGTTTCGCAAAATTGAGTTTTAAGTATTAGAAGTTACAAGCAAATTAACTAAATTTTGATCATTGCACACTCCCCTTCCTAACCAAAGCTACACAATAAATAAGTAAATTAAAAAGAGTATTTTTGACCATTTCTGATGACATACATTGGGAGAATTAGTTGCTCGTGTGTACACTGAGAATTATCGCTACATATATAAGCAAGGGAAGTAACACTGACAAATCCTAAGTGGAAATCATTGTCAACTTTGTTCTAGAGTTAAAGTAGCAATTAAGTTAGACTAAGGAATAGCATTTAATTTTAATTTTGACGGAGTTTTTCATTTTGCTTATCTTGGGGTAGTGACTATTCAGTAGAGGGCTAATTGAAGTTGATCCGGTTAATTTTAGTTTTGGAATGAAATGAAACGTTATCCTTGATTATTACTTGGTGATTATAAATAATGTTATAATTAAAGTTCTGTTTTTATGGTGATAGCTTGGTATAATCGATCATGAGTTTAGATTGTGGCAGCTTCAATGGTTTAATGAATTATCTTCGACATAATATAGAATATAAGAAACCTAACACTCACAAGTATATGACTTTGAGACTAATCATTATGTCTTGTTTTCTCTGAACAGTATCACAGCATTTACTCACCAATTTCATTCGGAAAGAGACATGACCCCAATGGCGGTTTTATCAGGCATTTTCTTCCTGTATTGAAAGGTTTGTTGAGTTTATTAAGATTGCCTGAAAGTTTTTATTTTTCAGAACATTATGAATGATGAGTCTTTTCAATGATCAGATATGCCAAAACAGTACATTTATGAACCATGGACAGCTCCCAAGAGCCTCCAAGTGAAGGCTAAATGCATAATTGGGAAAGACTATCCAAGTCCTGGTAAGTGAACTAACGTTATTCTCCTCAAGATATTCAATAATTTGACAAAATTCATTTACTATTTTTCTTCTGAGTTGGTTCAATCATTCAATTAAAGAGTCAGTTTACCCAGAAGTCAAGTTAGCATTTCCTTTGAGCAAGCATTTTTTGAATTTTTGGTATGCAATTTTCGTTGTTCATACACAGAAATTGCCAGGGATCTTGAGAAGATTTTTCTGGCTTATGGCATAGGAGCACATGATATGCTCACTTTATCTGTATCAGTATTAGTGGATTTTATAGTGAATGTATTGCCCTAAATTTGACTTTAAATCAAAGTAAGAAGTTAATATCTACAGTAAAAATATGATGATTATTTTTTTTTTTCTCAAATACGAAAAACAATGCTTCATGATTTTCTTTTAAAAGGACAGTCGTTTAGACTATAGTATAATTTTCTAGTTCAACTATCCTGTCTTTTGGAATATAATACTCAGATCGAATCTCAAGTTGTGTCAAGTATGTCAGATTGACAATAATTTTGATTTTAAAACAATTGTGGATCATGGAAATAGTCAAATAGGTAAGATTTAGCAAATGTGATTGGCATTATGATAAAAAAATAATGTGGACAATGTTAAATGTGTATGGATGGCCATTGAGGAGGTTATGATAAGAGTGGCATTAAGATGTCCATTTGTATATTCCAGGTAATTGGAATATGTGTATATTTATGGACAGTTTTAGTGAATGTTTCTAAAAGTATAGTCCCCTCCACCTTCCCCTAATGATGAAAGCATACATGAGCTTATTTTATGTATACCACTATCTGCTTTGTTTGCCTGTTAACATTCTAGCTTTCATGGACTGTCATATTCATAAGTGAATCCTTTTTTATTATGTCTTCCTTGAATACAATTCTCTAGTGGCTTAAATTTCTGCCTTTTCCTACCAGTGGTTTCCCATGATTCTACAAGCAAAGAATGTAAACGGAAGTTGGCTGAAGCATATGCATTGAACTGTCAGTCAAATGGTGTTGTCAGTGAAGATGATTTAGGCAAGTTGGACGAAAATTAGAGGAAGATCAGCAGACACAGAAACCTGCTGCTAAAAAGCAAAACCAGAAGTTGGTTTTCCTGTCTGTGTTGTTGTGAGCTGTTGTTTCTGCTACAATGTTGTGTCTGCTGTCCTGTGATGTCGAGTTTTCCTGTGTTGATGTGATGCGCTGCTGTGTTGGTGTTGCTGTGTTGCTGTCTGCTTCCTTTTGCAGTGCTGTGTTGCTGGTTTCTGGGGTGCTGTGATGCTGAGTTGATGTGCTTGCTCTGCTGCTTTGGTGTTGCGCTGTGTTTTGTTAGTTTTGTAGCCTGTTGAGCTGCTTAGTTCGATTTTTACTATTTATATGCTTCATTAGAATAGGTTTTTGGAGTATTAGAAGTAAATTTCTGTAACTTTATATATACGTTAGTGTTTATATATCAATTTAAGTGAAAAAATGCAAAAAAAAAAAAAAAAAAAAAATTATTTTTTTTGGGCATTTTTGGCACCGGTTTTTGAAACGAACCGGTGCCAAAAGTTTTTTTTAGAATTTTTTTGGGGACTTTTGGCACTGGTTCTAAGTCAAAATCGGTGCGAAAAGTCTGATTTCGCACCGATTTTTAACCGGTGCAAAATGTATGGCGTTTTAGCACTCCCTAAATAAGGACCGGTTCAAAACCGGTGCTAAATGGGGGGTTTGAACCGGTGCGGATTACGAGTTTTCGCCTAGTGTTAAATGACCTTGATTAGGGATAATTTTCGATTAAAATATTCATTATTTAATTCTAAACCACAATTAAATAGTTTGTGGGATTTTATTAGTAATAATTTATTCCACCATGAAACTTTTCAACGTTTCATCTTATAATAAATGGTTTTCTCCAAATGTTTCAAGAGTTACATTCTTCACAAAACATTTATAGAAATCACACCCATATTTAATATGCTTGATTGCACCCTGGTGAATGTTGTCAGTCACTTATTGCATAGGTTTAGTTATTATTACTTTGCAAATCTTAGCATCTTTATTATCAACACTTTCATAATAAGATTATATTATATTGAGAGTGTTATGGACCATATGTGATTTAGGATTTATTGTCCAAGTGATGGCTCCTACTCATTTTCATGACTTGAGATCTTTCAACTTAACAACATACAATCATCAACGTTCGACAACGAACTTTCTATTGAACACTTTCTTATTATTGCCTTCCAGGCAACAATATTCTCAACATATATTTCAGTAGACTTTCCGATGGTGCTTTGCTCGAATTCCATTCCAAACGGCTCACAATGAGTTGGGAGACCTTAATCACTTGTGATTATGGAAATTTACCTTAAATTTTCGCACATTATACATGGATGCACGTCCATGTTACCATTATCAAGCCACGAGGCATTCTAGCTCGTGCTTATAAACGACTTCCTTATTAAGGATCTAATCCTTGCTAAGGATGTGCTTGCAACATAAATTCTCAAATTATAATTGTTTCCATATGTCAAGAACTCATTCCTTCTACTTATCCAAGTACTTTGGATGTTCTTGATTATAATTTAACAATCCATTACTTAGATTTAAATTGATTGGTATTTGATACTTCTCATGCTCCAACCATGTGAATTGAGTGACGACTCCATATCATAGCATACATGATGGTTTTAAATGCAGAATTATTCCCAATATTGTTCCATTCATGTGACCTTTTAGCTTATCCAGTTTCACCGAGTCTTGCTAAACTGTTTGCTATGTGATACAGTTGAAAATCTCTACTAAAGTCTTTCTTGTTTGACTTAGTATTTTTTCAGCTTATACTTAGTTCAAACATTTACCTAGTTTTATACATATGGGTCGAAAGCCTTTCCATGCCCTTTATGTTTAACACGGTAAATTCCTCTACTCGTTTAAACATTTTATTAAGTCTATCCAATAGATCTTAATTCCCACTATGTACTAAGTATCACCTTTTGCTTGGTCCATTGTCAAAATCCTTTCAAATCTAAGCATTTAGCATTTGACAGTCATTTCACAATAGAGTTCGTAAACTTCTTGTTGGACCATACAAGATTGACTCTTTCTCCCACTAAACTTCTTGTTCATACGAATTTCTATGATTCTCCACAAGCCAAACCTTTTATTAACTGTATGAGAATACATGTTCCAATTCCTACATGCAATGCTTCACTTAATCCCACAATGGATTTCTTGAGCTTGCTTTAAAATCTACCATTATTTAGAATTACAAAACCCTAAGACTATTTCCATAGTCTCTTCCAAAATCCGATTTTAGGAAGGTGGTTTTGTTATCTATTTTTCCATATTTCATATACGCAATTTTGCTAGAATAATCACAAAAAGACTTAAGCGTTTCGACTGGTGAATATGTTATTATTAAAATCAACGCCATGAATTTATTGTATCCTTTTCAACCAATCAAGCTATGTATGCATTATGCATTTCACATTTGTTATTTTTCTCCTTGAAAACTTATTTGCGATTGATGGGTCTTTCACCCTTCATGCATATGAATCAAGTTCCAAACATGATTTACAAACATGGAGTCTATTTCGGATTTTATGGCTTCTAACCATTATTCGGAATTTGGATTTGTCGTAGCTAATTTACAAGACACTATTCCTTCACCATCCAATGGTAAATAGTATGCTTGTAAGTCTTAGGTTAATTTCTAACTTAATAGAAATTTATAGGATTTAATCCAAGCCTTTGGTGAATTCTATACCTATACGGGGTAATTGCATCAAACACTGAGTTTCAAGGTGCTTTTAAAGCCCTTTGATTATATTGATCTTACTCCACCACTTCTAAAGTTTTTTGAGTATTTTTTTATCAATCATTCTCATGAAGCCCTTCTAAAGTCTTCGAAGATTCTCAGTTTAAGTTTGTTGCTAATCTCAATGGTTATCGAGTTCATGTTCCTCCCAATTGTCGTTTTGGAAATGTGTTACTTTCTAGAAAGACACCAATGTTCTAAATTAGGTTGTGGAAGTAATGTCCGTAGTCTCACTTATATATTGTCTTTAGGTAAAAGTTCATTGTGAAACAAACAGTAAGCTCCTTCTCGAGCTACCTTAGCCCTTATTGAGCCACTTAACTCCCATTGAGCCAAAGAACTCCCACTTAGCCAATGAACTCCCACTGAGCTAAGAGCCCTAGACATATACTTGAAAAGACGCTAGAAACTATATCTATCCATAACTGAATATGGTGTCCTTTCATAGCTTCGACAATTTTTCTGTTTAGTGTAACACTAGTCATTTGTGCAAATCTTTAAGAACTTTATAGGAAGGGATGTGATCCAACATCATTCAAGTCATTTCCAAATGGCATCGAGGTCTCCGTCAGGACTTACTATATTCTTTGTGGAGTCATTATGAAATTTCAATTTTATAAGTTTGATATGATCACTCTTGGCTCAAGCAAACATTGCTCGATCTAAACTAGATGTTCTGATATCTTGCCAAGTCGATTCTATACTTCACTGAACATTTAAGCTACTCAAGGTCTAGTTTGTTCACATTTGATGAATGTAGCCACATTCTTTCAAATTCTTGTGAGAAGTTGAAGTAATGGAATCCTCTTTAGCTTTTGGAGTTAATTGTTTATGCCGAAAACAATGGCTCCTTTCTTTGTCGATTTCAACAAGTAAGACTTGCTTGTCTTAGAACGATTCCAAATCGATCAACTATCAAGAGTCTATCTAATAGAGCCTTGTGTATGTTCTTGTTGATGTGACATTGCTAAAGATGTTTGGAACACAAATCATGTCCATTACTTGAACCTTGTGAGTTTTCATGTTAGGGAAATGTTTGTTTATAATCTACCATTCTTGACTCATGGCTTAGACCACCATGGCATTCAAAACAAACCCACAACTATTGCTCTTTTACTTTGAATGTGAGTCTTTATGTGTGTAACGGATCGTTTGCTGATTATGGAGCACAATAACCATTATTCGTTCCAGCCTTGGTTTAAAAGGACTTTAAACAAAACAAATGACCTTACAACTGATGTAGCACTACTTGCTTCATTCTAAGCTTGTAAGTCAATAACTTAGCTTGACTTCGATGGTTTGAGGTCACTTTCAAAGTGGAAAACTCAAGCAGTGTCCAATACTTATGAAGATAACGAATTGCTAAGTTGACCATAATAACATGAACTCATGGGTAGAAAAGGAATCTTATTCCTTTCCTTTGTTCCTTGTATCCTATATTTCCTATCATACACCATCTCATAACTTTAAGAACCATTTCTTTAAGTGACTTGATTTTTACACTTTGTTAGGCATAATTAAGCATCTAATGTGCCGTGAAACAAAGATCCATCTTTTCCTTCTATTCGTACTTGAATTGCTACATCAATGAGTCCTACTCATTTATGTATGAAGCGAAAAGATACGTTGGTTATCAACTATTGACAATTTGAGTTTTCCAACTCAATATTTCATGTTCATCAAAACTACCCAGTATTTTGAATACAAGATATCCAACCGACCTTTCGGACTTAAGTCATAAAAGTCAATTATGAGAAAATGTATTTAGAAATGCCTCTCCATTCTTTGAGAACCATTCTCAAAAGATTTCCTTTACCAATCATTGAAAACAATATAATATGATTTAGAATTCTACAAATATAAGTGCAAAGTATAACCATTTATCAAGTTCATAACGTAATAAGTTTGAAATTCAAAGCATACAAGCAAACTTTCAATCTTATTACGCGTCTTATCCACACATTAAAATTTATCCCTTTTAGGCGAGAATAAAACGATTCCAAGATCCCAAAATCATAAAGTGATTAAGCATGCTTTGGCTTGTCTTAAAACTTAATATTTTAAGGTAAGCAATCCAATTGCTAATAGCTCTAGCTAAGCTACTCTTGGTTCAATAAAACGTCGCATCTAATGCTTCCTTGACATTTTATCTCCATTGCCACGACATCTAAGGACTCCTTACTGATATCGTTGAGCTTAACCAAGACGACTTGTATACCTAGTATACCTTACGTTCCTAGGGAAACGGTGATGCCTCGCTTTGGCGTAGCCCATCACCACGCGCATTAGTTCGGTAAGTGTCGTTCGTGGAATGATAAATTTGGCTCAATATTGTAGGGACTTAATTAATCATCGCAACACTTGAAACCCTAAGCATGCATCTATCATACCATTCAATCATATATAAACACAAATATATATAGAAAGCATAAGTAAAAGATGCATTTGGCAACTAGCATGACCCCTTGAGTCTTCAAATCTTCAAGGGTCTTCGATGCATCCTCTTGGCTCGTCTTCTTAGAAACGCCGTCTTCGAGACATCTCCGTCAAATATGCAACTACTAATTACTATAACTAGGATTAATCTAAATATTAAGGTACAAAAATACGCAACGGTACGCAGGCCGTATTTAGATTTACAAAATTACATAACGGATTA